CCCCCCCCCCCCCACCCACAAATGGCTATCGTGCAATTTAAAGTTTCCAAGTTGTCGTCATTTTAGTTGTTGTAGTACTTGTTGCTTTTTTTTTGCGAAACGCAAATACTTTTAATGAATTGAGCCTGAACCAATATTAGAAAACTTTATGGCTACTTATACGTCGAGTTCTTTTCAACGAACTTCTCAACGTTGAAAATAATTTAACGTTAAATAGATCATTTCTTATGACATGAGATTGGAGTTATTTTTATACCTCACTTTTCTCTATAAATGGATTTTTATTCGTGCTTTCAAATTTAATCTATATAAATTTATATAAATAATACATAATACGATATGTTGAAGGAATAACAATAAATATGATTTAGCAGTAGAATTATTAATTACTTATATTAATTATTCGATATAACATTTTACTAAACTTATGCTTAAATTAAAAATATTATTGTTATATCTGTTACCATTTATATAAAATAGAATAAATTAGCCGTTTCTTATATGAACAACAAAATTCAACACGATCAAAGTATACTTATAACGAATGTTATTATTTTGCATCTTATTTTTCTTAAACATTTGAATTTTGAAATCAGTGCGTGTAAAAATAAAACCAAACTATGCAAAGTATTTGAGTTTTAATTTACGTGTGTCAATATTACCTACATTAATACTTATACAATATTTAATAGTTTATAAGTACATATTTAAAGACGGAAAAATATAAATTGTAATTCATAATCTAATAATTTCATAAATATATACATAAATTAAATATATATATATATATATATATATATGTTAATATTATACAAATTGGGAAAAGTTTAATATTAAAATCAGTTCCTTATTTTGTAATTTTGATATTTGTAATTAGATCCAAGTACTTGAAATTATAAATGAATTTCGTATTATTTGCTTATGACTTAATTCTAATAAATAATTTTTTTTGGTGAAATATTGAAACTAGTAATTTATCTCCATAACCATTCGCTTGTACCCTTCTTTGCGAAAAAGTTAGCTTGTAAAGCTAATCTGAAAACATAAGAATGTTAAAACAATTCATCTTATTGTAATAAACTTAAGATTCTTCCAAACATTGTAAAATGACGTGAAACGCCGTAAATTTTTTAACTACTTCATAGAAACATTTCATATATCATCAAGTTGCCAAGTTTCAACCATTGTTCATTTAATTTTCCAGTATTTTGTTTTTTTCTTAATAAATCGTTGCATCAGTACTTAATCAAATCTATAAAACGACGTTCGATCCATTATTTTCTTTTGATATTCATAAAATAAATGACTTTCAATATACAATAAAGATAATACTCTCTTGTCTTTTATACAATTATTATTCTAGTGCTTTAAAGCCTTTGTTGCCCAACAACTTACCACGAGCTCGACGTTTTGTTAACAACTTTTGCACGATAGAATCATAAACGCTCTCGTCAGCGACACCTGAGTCCTTCACAAGCTTTTCCTTGACAGCTATGCATATTTCATTCTTGGCAAGAAGACTCTCCAGTTCTTCGAAAGCCTAAAACATCGAAGTCGTTTTAATTTAATTTGTCAAAACATTTTAAAGAATCCGAAAAATATCCGTTCTCTGCGTCAATCCATTCTAATTATTCGTTCACTAAAAAGTCCCAATTTTTTAAAATTAAAAACACTATATATTATAAGATTATTATTTTTGTATTATTCGATTTATTATTGTTCGTACTGCTGCTTACAATTGTCGTTATTAAATAATATTATTTAGTTCGGAGTGTTGCTAAGAATATCGTAGCGATAGGCAAAAAGAGAAAGCGTCGCAGAGATTAGAAAGGTTTAATTACCTATACACTTTGATTTAACTTTGAAAAACAAGTCACTTTTAATTATAGTTTAGCCGAACCTGTATTAGGCAAATGGAGTTGATTTAATTATCTTTACTAGCAGTAGAAAATAGTCGAGCTTGAAGGAAAAAAAATTTACCGTCGCCTTTATTAAACAATATAATTACATTAAAATTAATCATGAAAATCTTATCATACTAAGTTAACTTTCAAGAAATTATGCAAATGATTCATAAAAATTTTAAAACTTAATTTTCCAATATTTTATTTGCCAACTTTTAATACTATTAGATTTACATCTTAGTTGAAGTAAACTTGGTAATTGTTTTTAATTATTTAAACTGCACACAAAATGGTTTTCAATCAAAATTAGCACAAAAGATATAAAAAAAAAAACAAAAACAAAAAAATCAATTTATTAGATTTACCTAATCTTTCATCTTTAATTATAATTTCATTAATTAGTGTATATAGTTATAAAATGCATAAATTATAAAACTCTAACAATAATATTATTGCGGCAATATTGTAAAAATCTATTATTTATTACACTTTAGTGGAAGCGATTTTATTGAAAAGAAATGACTAAAGGAGATAATATTTCCCAGTTACGTTTTATGCTCTGAAACAATAGTAGTCTCTATCCAAGACCATATTTATTACATTTGAACGACAAATACCTTTATTACATTAATCATTTCACAAGTAAAAATTAGTATTATAGAACAAACATAATAAGGCAATTAAATGCTTAAAATTTGAAAATAATATAGTACCAATAAATTACCTTTACTCCATAATTACTTTCTTCATATATAACAGATACGTATGTCCAGTTCATTTGTTTAATAATCTCGACCATGGCTTTAACTTGATAGTGATCACTCGGTATTGTACGAGTAAAATATTCAAAGCGCTGTTTATTGGAAAGTTCGGGACTCGTGGAGAAGAATGAAACCTGCAATGCAAGCGCTAAAGTTTTATATATTTCCTAAATTTCATGCATATAAAGCAAGTAAAAGAATGTATCATTATTAGTTTAAAGTATTCTACCTGCAAGTATAAATATTATCATCTTAAATTATCAAACTTATTATAAGATAATGAGAAAAAATATTATGGGCATCGTCAATAATGTTATTATGGATTATCTAATGTGTATTTATTTATATTAATGGTTTAGATATCCTTGAGAGTTCATTTTAAATTATTTTAATAATATTTTTGCAAATTCAGTAAATTAATATTAAAGTTATCAATTTGCAACTTATTACATTTATTACTATATAACGTATAATTGATTTATAATATAATCAAATCAAATAGCTTATAATGCCTGAAGAATGTAAAGCGTAATGTTTATACTGAATTTTTTCCATTATACTGAAGCATAATAACACAGAGAAAAATTATGCCATTCGTTTATTCACTTCACATTTAATCGATAACTTTATTATTTGTTGTTGATAATTTGCATTATTTTATCCTAAAATATATATTTCAGAAATTTGCTATAGTAATATCATTTCAATCTGAAATGATTTCATCCTATTAGGAACTTTTTATGTCATAGTACATAAAACATGTACATTTGCATAATTATAAAAAATAATGACTCAATTAATCATATTTATTGTTGTATTATGTAAATAAGTAGAAGAAAAGATGTCTTTTTCACATTTATATACGTGATTTCTCGAAAATATATTTGAAACATATTTTACCCTTTATTATAGATGGTTAATGATAATAAAAAACAATGAATGATATCTTAAATGTTGTTTTGTACTTCTTCTCCAGCTATTTTTATAAATTTCGACTGATGGGAACTCAATACGAATAGTATTGAGTTTTCATTTAGCATCGACGTATTAAATTTTATTGAATGAATGGGATATTACATATTTAAAATAATATTGTATTGAGAAACGTTAATTTTTTATTCACATACTTATCACTCAATATGCTTGTTCAGAGCTAAAAATTTTTATCTATTCCAATACAAAAGATGTTTTGAAATACAAGCGAAATAAAATACATGTACATTACAAGTATTATGTATCGTTGAATTTGTAGATTATTTATACATATAATATTCTATATATATTTATACATATATAGAAATTTTTTTTCATGATTCTCAACGATCCATGCATAATCTAAGAATAATATATTTAATAATATACGAAGCAATATTATCTGATTTTAAAACTACACACACACACACACACACACACACACGCACACATATATATATATATATATATATATATATATATATATATATATATTGTAAAAGTATTATTATACATACTTTTATCGGATATGTCTGTTGAAAATTTATATGAAAAAAGAAAAAGAAAAAGAAAAAGAAAAATAATATTAGACAACTGGATCGTTTGATTTACTATATTGGTAAAAAATAGAAAGAATGCGATATCGAGCTCAGAAAACTCCTCGGTGCATGGCGATAAAATTCTTTACAATTACGAAGCAATCTGGTTGGTAGTAACTTAATCCCATCGTATTCCTGGTGGTAGTAATGCGTTTACCGTACTCGTCGCTCGATATTGCGTGGGATTATTGCCGAGTGTGAGTGGAGGACCGAACAGAAAAGAAAGACATATCTTTTGGCTTGCTGTTATGCATAACCAAATTTTATTCTATGAGTCGAAAGGAATAGGCAATTCAAAGTTGTATTATATACTAACCTCAGGATTCTTAGCTCATTTTCATCTCATAATTATTCTTATCTCAAAAATGACTAAATAAATTAATTTTAGATGTGCTTAATATTTTGCTTAATATTTGAAAGATTGAACTTTTATAGTTTTATTAATGAATTGTGGAGAACGTTTCATGTTCCTCTTTCAAGTTTGTATACAATTATTGTATTGAACTTGAAATGAAGATCAATTTATTACTAAAGATGTACAGTTTAAGTAAAATTGTTGCAAAAATTAAAAGTAATTATTTCATAAATAAATAAATATTAAATTAAACTATTATTAATCTTATATTTATATAAATTAATTTGTATTATATTATAGAGTAGCTTTTAACGTTGTAGATTATTGTATGATTTATGAATACTTCGCAATTTAAATTAATTTTAATATTAATACTACAATTCATAATTTGTAAAAAAAAATTAAAATATTTTTCCTCAAATTCTTGATGTATATTTGTTCTTATTGGGTATATAATTTTTTTTTATATTGAAATATAGTAATTAAAAAGAATGCATTTATGATTAAATATCAACTTACGTTTCCACAAAATCTTAAAAATGTTTCAATAGTTAATGTAACATTTCGGGAAAGGAGAGTAAAATACTGTAATTCCTATTTCAATTCATGTTCAGATGTATGTGAGCGCAATTGACATAATGTGAATCTGTCGTGAATAATAACTTCCGATATTTATGTTCATTATTGAATATTGAGTGAAAGTTGGAAATATAATTCGTGGTTTCATATTTTATTTTTTCAGGTGTGTTAAATTTACGATTATTTCACATATTCAGATTTTCTTTGTATGCGAAGACATACAAGAGTCCACCCTCTCCCCCAACTATATATATATATATATATAAATAACAGATGCAATCATGAATGTTATTATATCATTGATTGATTGTCAATAAAAAAAATATTTCCTGTTATTGTAATGTCTATTACATATTCATTACAATTATGAATACATATTCATTGAAGTTTGAAAAAGCCTCTGTTACTTGTTACAAAAGAAAATATTACGTGCTACCTTTTTAACATACTTATTTCGAATTACTTCTCTCTACCATACATCTCTACAAGATAAATAATTTGTATTATAAATATTCTTTATTTTAATTGTATTTGCAACTTCACAAAACAATTATACAAATATTCTTTATGATTCGATAATATAAATCACTTATGATTACAATAAATAACAATGCTAAATAATTTATAAAGCAACTTCTTTTTATATCAGTGAAAAATAAATATTAGGACCAAATTTTATAAAAAAAAGAAGATACATAACATACTTCTATTTCAATATTTCTTAAATTAAATTCACGAGTTATATATTCATAAATTTTTGTTTTATGTTTAATAAACATAATTAAAGCAGATATGTAAATGGTTTATCTAGTACATAAATCAAATAATAAATAAGGGATGTTATTTATTGAATATTAAAAAAAAATTGAAATTTTATATTGCAGCTACTTCATACGTGGTACTATTATAAGATTTGAATTTTCTATTATTAATATAAAATTAAAAGCACTTTATCATCTCATTAGTAAAAATCACAATATTTTGTAAACAAATATGGGTAATTTTTCTATAAAGGCAACTTATTATTTCGAACTGTTTAAGGTTTCTTTTGTTCGAAATAATCGTAATAATAGAATAAAAATATAATTAGATAATGAAAATATATCTTCAGTGAGCAAGTGAATGTAACGGAAAGGTAAGTAAAAATTTTAAATATTCATTATTTTTTTATCTTCAGATTTATTACCTTCAGATATGTGATTTTAACTTCATTTTAATTCTGAGTTTGCGATATAATTAATTTATTATTTAAATGATATTTCAATAATTTTTAGAAGCACTTAATTTTAGTTACGGAGATGTAATTATTTATTAAAAAACATTTCATCATTTTCGGAAAGTTTTTTACACCTTAATTTTACATCCCATCGTGTATAAGCTTGGAAATCAGAGGAAAAAATAATCTTGAAAGCATAAGAAAAAAATACAATAAATTTGTTTTTATTAAATAATCAGTTATTATATTTTAAATATGTAGTATGTATTTTTTTTCAAATAGATGGAAACAATTATTAAAAGCTATTGCCAAAAAGAATACTCACTTCTTCTCTTTCTAGACATGTCAAGTTGTCTACTCGTTTCAATAGCAAAGACTCTGTTATTTAACCTGTTTTAATTCAAAAATTCTTAATGAAATAAAATTGTAAGTAAATTAAGTGCACGATAACGTAACTTATGCCTTCAAATCAGTACTCTGAAAATAAAAAGAAATGGGTTTTTTTTTTTTTTTTAAAGTAAACGTTGCTTTATCACATAATTAGAGAAGAATGTTTACACAGTTCCAAAAGAAAGAATTAATTCATATAATGGAGCAGACAAAAGTAATAAGGAATAAGCATTAAATAAATGTATTACGAAATAACTAGTTTTTATATTGCTACTGCTCATTTTCAAATAATAACAAATGTATTGAGAGCAAAAGTATTTCATGATATAAGAGAGTAAAAGCCGATATCAAATAACAAAGTTATGAAACTGTAGTGTTTGAAAATATTCAGTGATGCTCAATTTTCATTGTATATATATATATATATATATATTCTTTTTAATCTTTCTCTATTTTCTATCTCTTTCTCTATCAGGTACATACGTGATAAAACCAATCTTTATTTAAGGTGAACAATAACATTCAGTTTGTTTGAATTGACTTGCAAATGCTTCTTCAAGACGGATGACTTTCCTTTTCTAATGAAATGTAATTCTCATAAAATTGAAAGTCTGCGATATAAAAATAAGAAAATATGGCATTGTTGTTTGCAATTACAAGTTGTTTATTGAGAACCCTTTAAAATACAAATAATTCTTCTTTGTACCTTTGAACAATTTGTGTCTTATATTTTATTTCGTTTCACTGATTATTATAACAACAATTTTTGTCAATTATACATTTCTAACTAATATAACTTGAATTAAATGACACTAATATATCAAAATATATAAGACTAATCTTTTATCATTTAAATGAAATCATAAAATTAATCTACCATCGGTGAATTATATAGAATATATAATATAGTATAAATGTAACTACTAATTTTACTAATATATTTATTATATTATCTAAATTGTTAATTATTTTAATTTATATAATTTTTAAATTTAAATGATTTTAAATTTAAGTTTTAATTAT